GAAAGCCAGGGATACAGCCACACCTGGTGGGGATGTCCTGCAGAGCCAGTTCACCAGCCCACAACCTGCTCTGCACTGGACATCTGTCTTGGCTGGCCAGCTCTGTGGGGAGGAGACATCTCCCAGGGCCTGCTTACCAAGCGTCCTTTGAACACAGAGGGGGAGGAAAAACCAACTGCAGGCACAGCCAAGAGCTTCTCTGTGGCCATCAACAGTGACCACTGCCCAGCTCCAGCAGTGACTCCAGCAGCGAGGCAGGAGGGGCACAAAAAGGACCAACACAGATGTCACAATCCCAAATGAGACCGAGGTCACCAGATGCAGAGAACAGTCAGCAGCACAGTTAAAAGAAGCAAAGATACAACAGCTGCCTTCAGCTGAAGAGGCCTTGGGAATGAAATCAGATTAAGCAGGATGAATCTCCTATTACAGAACCATATTCCTACCTGGTGCCTTTCTTGTTGTATCATTTATTGAAAAGGAAGCTAAGAAGTGGCTCAGTGGTGATGCAGGGAGGGGAGGAAGCAGCTCAGGAAAAGTAATGAGTTTTCTTAAAAAGCCCATGAACAGCATGAAAACACAGAGGCATCCTGGTTGCAGAATGATAATGGCCCTTCAATCAATCCACAATTGATTTCACATTTAAGCTGTAGATCATCTCGGTAAAAAGCCTTTTGTGAGCCTGAGATGGAGAACTGGAATCTGCATTTCAATGGCTCTGGATGCTCAGCCACGGCTCTGTCAGCAGAGCTGCATGTTTGGTAGGGAAGAAGAAGCCTGTGGCTCTGAAAACCTGATTGGGGATAATGAAGTGCCCTCACAGCACTAATTAACACCCCACACTAAAGGTCAGAAGGGCAAATGATGTCCTTGCATGTGCCCAGAGCATCTACAGGCTGGTACATGGCTTAAGCTCCCTCCTCTTGCAGTCCCATTCCCTGGGCCCTCCTGGGACAAGGACTTTCACAGCTGTTCTGCTGTCAAGGATTGGGAGATTGTAGCAGAACAGACTATGAGGGACACCAGAAAATACTGACCTTCTATTCCTTTGGTCCTACTTGACCTCATGATGGGAAAATACTGCTAGAGCCACCAGCAGCCCTGGAGTCAGCACCCTGGAGAGGCTGCTGTGAAGGAACACGAGTGATGGATGTTCTTACGTTCAAGTGCCTCATTTTGACAACACACAGACCTCTCACACTGTGGTCTAAACCCTGGGCACACTCACCAAAGGAGATGTCACCAAGGTGGAGGGCATGTACTTCAAAATGCAAAGTTGGTCCGATGACACAGCCCCTGTGAGGACAAAGGCAGAGGAGGCAATGGCTGGGTTAAAGCGAATTGCAAAGGGTTTGGCTGTAGTTACAGCTCAGGTGGGTAAAAACTGCTGTCAGAGCCACTGTGGGTTTTAAATCAACCCACCACCCTGTGCTCAGCATGGCATCCACACGGACAGGAGGCAGCCAAAGCACTGGGCAGCAGCCAACAGCTGCTGATGGGGCTTAGGGCACCCCAGCAGGCAGGACATGCCCCATGAAGGACCCTGCACACGCACCCACAGATGGCTCTGTGCCTCAGTTTCCCCATCTATGAGGTGATGGACACAGAGGTGGCCCCACAAAAGTGGACTCACTGTAACCAGCCTTCCCAGCCACGGGTTCCCTGTTTGGGTATTTCTTAGCTGTGACTGGTGTTTCCATGGAGGATCTTTTCCCAGGAGATCTTGACCCACACAATCATTACAGGCAGGATTTTGAATCCAGGGCAGCCCCAGCCATCCACTGAGAAGAGCAGCAGCAGTTCTACACAGTGCACAGATGAATCTTAGAGGAAAGGACCAGCTTGTCACCAGTGCACCAGCTGACCCAGCCAAGAGCAGTAGCTTAAAACACCAAACATGGGTGTCCTGAATCCACCATACACCCATTCTTAAATTCAGCACACAGGCTCCAAACTCCAAAAGTCACCAACATCACTGATATCAGCACTTGAAGCTGCACAAAACTCACAAATTTCTTTCATGGTTGATGCCAATCAATGCCCACTCTGCCTTTTGGTTAAAAATCAAGGGCCACAGTGAACTGTGCCTTCTATTTTATTCACAGGACTGCCACTGGCTCTGCTCTACACATCTCGTCAAGCAAAACCTGCCCTTGCTCAAGGAGAAAGCTGCTTATGCAACAACATCCCGTGACCAGTTTGGGGGAGGGACAGAGTAGAATAAATTATTTGATTGTGAAATGTTCCCTCTCCATTTCCAAAAAAAAAAAAAAAAAAAAGGCAGTGCTTTTCCTCCAAACACAAAGCCAGCATAACTGTTTCTCTACTGAGGTCAGACCTACTTACTACTCTTCTCTTGCAAAGTAATAACCCTCTTGTTCTTTTTTATCCATTTCCCTTATCTTCTTGGTAAAATCGACTGCAGATTCCTTTTGTTTCTTTACTGCCTTGATCCAATGGCTCCCAACAGCATCAGCCCAGCCACAGCCAGCTCCAGAACCCAGCATCAGCTTTCCTGCCTGCACCACATTATCCCACCAGCCTGTGGTTCAGACTAGCTGGGACAAGCCCTCATGCTGCTGTGGTTCTGAGAAGTGAGCTTTGCCTCCCCCATCCTCACCTTTTTTTCCCCCCTTCTCTCCTTTGCTAGGTGAGGATTACCTTTTGCAAGGGCACCAGCCCATGGGATGATGCCCAAGCCCTTGTGACAGCCAAGCTTTTGAAAGTGTCTGGAATGATGTAGTGCCTCATTTTCTAACCCTTTCAGTTGCTCTCTCTACTTTTTTGCAGACTTGACACCATTGGGGTGGAGGCAAATAGGTAGAAAATTGCTTTGCTTCCTTCCCAGAAATGCTTTGCTCTTTCTAGAGCCGGAGATGCGCCAAGGCTGAAGGAT